TTTTTTTTTTTTTTTTTTTTAAAAAAAACAAATGAAACTAGATAATGATCTGGTTATTATCAAGATTAGTTTATGTTATTGTACAATTAATGAAAATAAATAAATACTATTTTGGAATAATTTTTTTTTTTTCGGTTGAACATTTTTTATTAATAAGGTTTTATGTTGAGCAAGGGATCAACGTAAACAAAAAAAAAACTTTATTTTTTTGTGTCAAAGATTTTTTTAAACTTACGCCCCAAAACATTATATAAATTGGCCAGAATTAGAGTTCAAATGAGAACTGCAACTCATATAAATTTCTAAATTTCTAAATTATTTTGTATTCGCGATTTTTGTTTTTCCTAAAATATTAATAGTACACCCAATAAAAACTCAATTAAGGTTAGATTGTATCATTTTTTTTTATTTACTCCTTGATTTTTCCGGGAACCAAATAGTTATTTTATTTGTAAATGGTGTAGATTACAAGTCACGCGATAATGAACTTCATGAATATGAATTATTAGTAATCAATCTCACGTTGTCACTGCATTTTTGAAAGTATAAAATGTCAAAGTTTTTATTTTCTTCTTCGAATTAAAAGAATAACCCCAAAAATAAACAAAAAATGGAACCTTGTGTAACAAAAATAGCACTTGTCACTGGTGCAGTAAGTAAATTACCCGATCCTTTTTTTTTTTTTTCATTGCTATTTATAAAGTTCCTAAAGTTGCACAAAATGTTTTTAGAACAAAGGAATTGGTTATGCAATTGTACGCAATCTTGCTTTAAGATATGCTCAACGTTCCTCAGATAATCCTCCACTAACTATCTTCTTGACAGCTCGTGATCCAAATCGTGGTCAAGAATCTTTGAGGAAAATCAAACAAGAATTAAAATCTAAACAAATTTTAAAAGATGAAAATGGAAATGTGGACATTAAGTTTTTGAGAATGGATTTGATTGATGAACAAAGCATCAAGGACGTTAAACAAATTCTTGCAAATGAAAATGGTACAATATTAAAGAAAAATTGAGAAGCTTAAAAAAATATCGAGTTACTCACATGATCTCAATTTTTTCCTCATCAGGACTTGACATATTAATTAATAATGCTGCAATAGGTAAATAAATGATGTTTTCATTAATTCACTTTTGAGTAAATCATAAAGTTAAATTATTATTTTAATAGCATCCGGAATTGGAGAATTTGATATTAATGTTGTTCGTTCAACTTTGGCAACAAATTTTTATGGTACACTCAATTTATGCAATCAACTTTATCCTCTGATTCGTCCAAATGGAAGATTAATTAATATATCAAGTTCAGTTGGGATGTTAAAGACATTGAGTTCTCCGGAACTTCAAAAAGAATTTAGCCGAGAAGATCTTGATATTGACGAATTGATAGGATTGATGAAGAAATTCGAAAATGATGTCGAAAACAATCAGTGGATAAAAGAAGGATGGCCTTCCAAGGGTAAATAATTAGGAGGACGATTTAAAAAAATAAATAACGTGGAATTGGTTTAATTATTTTTCTTTTTTGCAGCTTACAGTGTATCTAAGGTTGGGCTTAATGCCATGACAAAAATTTTTGCACGTCGTGCAGACAGTGAAGGCAAAAATATTTTGGTTCATGCATGCTGTCCAGGTTGGGTAAGTAGTAATATAAATAATCATGTACTATAATTATTAATTTTTCCGAGGTACAAGTGCGTAAACTTGTTTTTTTATTTGTGTAGGTCGCAACTGATATGGGTGGTCCTAATGCACCAAGAAATATTGGTACGTTAATCCCTATTTAGTTTTTTTTTTAATTATGCACGGATGTTGATATATTAAATGTTTTGGATTCGTAATCACGTTTATTCGATGTTTATAAATAGATCAAGGTGCCGAGACTCCTATTTATCTTGCACTTGATGAAAATGTTGTTCCTGAAACTAAAAATGGTGAATTTTGGCGGAACAAGCAAGTTGTTCCTTGGTAAAAAGTGTATATTTAATATACAGTATATATATTATAATAATGTTATTAAAAAAAAAAAAAAAATTTTTTTTTTTTTTTTTTTTTTTTTTTTTTAAAATGAGTCACCATTTGATCTATTAATCTGATTTTTTAATACCTAATTCAGGCCAGAATTAACGACATCTGTATATTACGCCATTAATTACGCCGGTCTGCATCTGAAACTAATTATATATTTTATCGCATAACCATATAACCATTATATTCGGTTAACGGGTAAATATAACTTCAATCTGATGGTTTACTGCGGTAAGATTGTCTTTTACGAAATCTAATATTTATTTGGAAAAATCATAAATATGTAATACGCGTTTATTTCATTAATTATATAAACGTCATCAGAAAATTCCAAAAGAGTTTTAGTGTTTTACAAATATTTGTAGAAGGATTATCGTAGCATTTACGCATATAATAGTACATTATTCTATTGTGGATCCTAAACACCTCAAACACGCATTTAAGCGATAATTTATAGCTAGTGACGTTAGCATGAAGTTGTATCACATGACTAAAGAAAAAATAGATATGACTATAATATCAATAAACTTTATGCTATGTGCACGAGCATCCGATTCTCGTTTGTACAACTTCCTTTTTTTTTTTTTTTTTTACTTTTGTCAAAAAAAAAGGAGCTTTTTTTTCGTTCCTGTTACTTCTAAATTTTTTTCGTGTTTTTAAAACACACCTTTTTTGATTCAACCTAAATTTTTACGGGAAAGAAGAAACCTTTTTAACGAATACAAAGAGAAACTTTCCCTGATTTTTACATATTATTTAAATACTTTTTAAAGAAAATATCGAGCAGCGAATACCTTCTTACGAATATTTTCTTTTTTACAAATTCAGTTGACACAAACATAAAGAATTCTTTTTTTCTTTCCTTATTTTTACTACACTGTATAATTCCAGAGAAATTTACGCGTTCACACGTTGCTAACGACTGAAAACTTGTCCACATTGAAGTTGGGATTCATATAATTTTTTGTTCTACTACAGCACCAAAAGACGTTAAAAGCCCCCTGAAAAAAACCAAATAATTGGTTTAAAGACTCTTGTTCTCCGAGTCCTTTTTGCCTTTCTTCAAGTAAAAGTGCAAGAGGTTTTTAACGTTTTTTAGTGCAATAAAGGTATTGTAAAAATTTTAATTTCAAAATCCTATTATATGTAAAAAAGTTTTTAACCATTTTAACGTGACAAATGTTTACCACCATATTATTTAATCTTATAATAGTAGTCGTACAAGTTTTTGTACGTATTCAGGTTTTTTATTAAACCGAAATTCGAAAGCGCACAAAGGTTAAGAAAAAAAAAAAAAAGTAACCGTATAATAATTTAAAACTTATGAATTAATTAATACACTAATATAATGGAAAAGCAAAAGTAAGCAACAGTACCGATTTTCATTAGCATATATATTTTACTTTAATATTAACACAATTAATTCTCTCTACTTTAATAAAAGATATTTATATAAAAACTCAAAATGCGTCGGAGGAACTTCATCAACAATATCACTGATCAATGCATGGATATCAATAACGGGGCAACGAAATATACAAAAATATCGGTAAGTACGTTAATCACTTCCATTTTATGCGAAACACTAAATAATTCTAACAAACTTTTTTTTTTATGTCTCACAGTTCTATTGCATATTTAGGAGGGTTTACAATAGTTGCACTTGCAACGATATGGTTTTTGTCACAATCACCGACATATACAGTCGAATATGATCCAAAAAACAAGTCCAGAAAGTCTGATAAATCCAAATTTAACAATAAGGAGGATGACACGGGTAAGTTGGATAAGCGCAGTAATAACACAAATAAAAGTTCGGTTGGTTGGTGGTCTTCTATTCGTGAAAAAGTATCAAATAAATTAGGATTTGGTAAAAAATCAAAATCACAGAAACCACCAAAGATTGGAAAACCTGGAAAATTAAATAGCAAGAAACGAACCTCTAGAGAAAATGGCATTACATTATCATCATCAAAGACATCCGATGCCATAACAAATGACTCGACTGGTTCGAGTAATATGAAAAATAGTTCTCATGATACCAAACCTACACATATAAGCAAGAAAGTTCAAGGACCCAGATGTGGTGACAGTAGTAATGATAACTCGCGACAAAAGGATCAAAAAACTCAAGATAAACTAATTGGATCCTATGATGACAATGGTTCTTCAAGCCACAATAACTGCCAACAAAAGGATCAAGTAACTCAAAAAATTCGAGTTGGATCCTATGGCAACAGTAGTTCTATCAATAGCAATAATTCGCATCAAAAAGATGCGATGATTCAAGAAATTCGAGTTGGAACTTGTGGAGGTAGTTTTGTTCCTAACAATAATGGAGTCAAACAACAAGAGCTACGAAAGTTAAAATTAAAGGCTCCAGATGCTCGTTTTTCTAAACGGACCAATCGAGAAAACAAACATCGGCTAGGTGAATGTTCAATATCCAAACATTCCAAACATCCCGAGAAAGTTGTTAACTCAACATCGCATATCCGAAATGTTGAATGTTTCACAAAACCTATATACCAGGATGCATATAATAAGGAATTGCTTGCTGATTTAGAAACAAGAATCACAGAAACTGTTAAAAAAATAAATTTTATTGATCTCCAAGGTATGCACATATTTCATATTTCATACCAGTACTTTATGACATAATTATTGATAAAAATTTTTTATAGATAGAGAAAAATATCGAGAATTTTACATTCCTTATACACCACTAACCTTGCATGAAACTTTTGACAAAATTGGACAAGAGCGTGTTGAGCGTTACAAGACACTTTTAATAAAACTCGAGAGACAAAAACAAGAAGATTCAAATCTTGAATATTCTCTTAAAATGGTTCAAGAGTTTTTTCATGAAAAAAAATACTATGATTCTGAAGAAGATGACGATTTCCATGAAAAACCTGTTGATCGTTCTGATGATTTCCTTGATTATATACAAAATGAAACAAAAACAAAAGTCACAGGAAACGATAACTTTGATCACAACAAGTCAAAAGTCACAGGAAACGATAACTTTGATCACAACAAGTCAAAAGTCACAGGAAACGATAACTTTGATCACAACAAGTGTCTAAAATTTGCCGATGTGCTTGCACAAGATGAACAAGCATCTAAAAAGAGAATTGAAAGAAATTTCGAAATTCTAAGTATGATTGATTCATATCAACAGCAAGGCAAAAAGACTGAATCAAACATCAAAAAGTCGATTAAGATGTTTGATGAGCAGAGAGCCAAATGTAAGGGGGCAACACGACATTTAAAGCGTCCCTCGAGATTTCTTGATGAGTTCAACCGATTAGAAGATCGACTGATGGATATCGAGCGGCAAACAAAATATCTAGCCGAAGGTCTAGATGATATGGAAGCGTATATTACAGAAACACTTGAACTTTTTAATGATGAAAGTAAAATGGACAATGCAGCGGCCAAATATGGTCCTATATTGATTGATGATGATTAAAATAACTTATAACTTGCATGTAGATGGCAGCTGAGGGGATGTGTAATATATATTTATAAATAATTGTAATAATCATAATAATTGGGCAAATTGTAATTTTGGGTAGAAATCATGTAATATTTTTTTTCAAACAAAAAAAAAAAAAAATTTGTAAATAAAATTGTATATAATAGGGTTATTTGCTAGAAGCAAATATTTGTGAAAAAAAATTTTTTTTTTACTTATTTATAAATGTGGAGATAATAACTACCGTTCTTTCATTGCCGATATAAAAAAATGCGTGCCAAAATAGAAAACGATTTATGACAAATTATTATAATTTTTATTAAAACTTGACTCGGTAAAGTTCATATAAAGAAATTTATAAATCAATTCTTAAAGAGAAAAACATAATGTATTTTATAATAAGGGAAGAACAGGGATATGTAAAACTTCAAATGAGTAAAACTTTATATTATTAAAATTGAGTTTACAAATCTTGGTGTGACAAATGATCTGGGGCAGCAAAATGTTGTTAAAATTAAGCTGATAAAAAAAAAGTACATAATATACAACACGGCATGCACATTACGTGGTTGTAAATAAAATTTATTTATTATCACCATTAACAATTGTAAAGACAGAAGATGCCTCGGATTCATCTTTTAATTCTAAATCTTCAATATTAATTGTAATGTATTTTTCGTCTTTATTATTTTCGGTGTTAATAGCTCGTAACACGTACTACAAACAAAAGAATTTTTTAATTAATATTAATAATATTTTAAAATTCTAGTATAATTTAATTTAGTAATAACATACTCCATTTTCTAATTGTTCAAGTTTGATCCAATATTTTTTCTCTTCATTATTAGATTTCCACATAACTTTCCTCTCTTCACAATATAATTCTCCATCCTGATCAACTCGAAAGATGGTTTGTTTTAGTTTTTCATTTAATGGATCATCTTTATTCCAATGAAATTTTAGCAAAGGATTCTCTGTATCATTAGTGACAGTTAGGAAATGTCCATCATGAGCTCGAATTGCTCCGCAAGTTGGTAATTCTTGCCGCTTCTCTATAATGATATTAGAAAAATGAGATCATTCAAAAAATTTATGAAAAAGATTGTGATTAAACTTACTTTCTGTCATGTTAACTTTTGGGTAAAATAAAACCTAGCGACATTTTATAACGATTATAAAAGTGATGTAATATACAAATTACATGACATCAACATGATGTACATATATGATGTTTTATAAAACTTTTCGCATTATCGTAGTCGATCTTGTCACACATCACACTTGCACGCTCTGCCTTAACTTTTCTTGGAATACTTTAACTCCACATTATGCTTAAATTTGTAAGTTAAAATCGACCACAACCAAAAAAGGGGGAAGGTTGCTAAAAAAAATTTTTAAAGATATTTAAAAATAAAAAAATTATAAAGAATTATGAAAAAACCAGTAAAAAATGTATTACAACATTGCATTATATATTTTGTTTCTAGATTTATATATAATTTTTACAAGATCCTAAATGAAAGATTTTTCTAACTTTACTAAATCACACCACTGATGCTCAACACCATAGTATGTGTATTTATGAAAACTATAGCCTAAACTAATAAAGTCACTCTAATTACAATTGAAGTTTGTTTAGTACTATTTTTTTTTATACTGCAAATATATATTGCAAAATAAAAATATTGAAAAACTAAGAAAAATATATGTGAAGTATAGTATATACTACAGCATTCATAGCATAAAAATTATATAATAAAAGTAATACATATAACTAAATATAACTGTATTGCTAAACACTAAAATACTAGTGATGTGATTTATAATTTTTGTTATTTAATCATATTAATTAATTCTAAATAATTTATAAAAATGACAGAATTAATAACTAGATTTGACAAATAAATTTTAAATTATTTTTAATTTAAATAATAACTTAATTTTTACTAAACTTTCTTAAAGTTAAATTTTTTATTTAATATATAAAAGCAGTAGTTTATTAAGAAATTATAATTTTATGTAAATATAAAATACCCTTATCTAAACCAGCAGATGTATCAGAAAGCATATTAGCTTTATAAATTAAATATTTATATAAATAATAGTTATTAGGTAAAAGATTGAAATATCATTAAACTGTAAAGTAATTCAAATGATATTTTAACTACCATTTTAAATTAGTTATATTTTATTAACTACCATAATACTCAATAACTGTATTATTATATAAATATTCAAAATCATGTTTTATATAAAAAAAATAATAAATAAATTCTATATTTATTTATTAATATAAAAATAATAGGTATTTTATGATATTTATAAAGATTAATATGTAATATTTAATTTATATAATAATAATTAATCTAAAAAATATCAGTATATTAAAATGACATAATTCTATTTGGCTGCATAATAAATAATAGATATATATTTTTTTGCTTTATATTTTACAAATTTATTTATAGCATTAAATATTATTTTTAATTTATTTGACAATACTTTTTTTAGTTTTTTTCATGATATATTTAATTATAATTAAAATTAAATAATTGGTATAATAAATTTCTTTTTTTAATAATTAAATGGATTTTTACAGATTTATTAAAATGCAAAGTAAAAGAAAAATTCCAAGTATTTATTATTAACTTATTTAAACTTTTAACTATTATAAATCTGTTTAAAAATTTTATCATTCATATATTTTAATTGAAACTGATCAAATTATAAATAAAATACTAAAAACACTTATATCACATGTTGATTAAATATATAATAATTTACTAAATAAAAAATTATTTTTTGCATTTAAACTTCAATTGTTTAAAAATTCAAAAAAAAAAAAATTTATTATTATATCTTTTACTACTAAAATTTTACCAACTATTTAAAAAATAATAACTATTTTAAATAAAACTTATTTACAGATAATTGAAATATTACAAAGTTTATATATTGTAATTATGACAATTTTTTTTTAAAAAAAAGTCAAAATCTTAAATATTCTGTAATTTAAATAATTCTTTAATTTTGAAAAAAAAAATAAATCTTTTTTTAATTTTAATCCAAAAATTGCTCTAATACAAATACCTAATGCATTTATTTATAGTTATAAACATTTAAAAATACATGGTTTCTGATTGTATATAAAAAAAGTTTTATTATTATTATTATTTTTTTACTGCAGTACATTTAATACTTTATTAATAAAATTTTATGTTAACAGTTTAATACAATATACTTGATTAAATATAAAATTAAGCTAATTCATTAAGTATTAAAATACTTGTTATTTTAAAAAGGATTCTACATATGTACTGTCAAATGGATTTTCAGATTATAAAAATAAGTTCTATGTGAAATATAATCTTTCTTAAAGAAGAACCTCTCCTCTCAATTTAAGTCTATTTCAGTAATTCAATAAGACCAACTATATATAGTAAAACTGATTACAAGAAAAAAAAAAAAAGGATTTAATTAAAAAAAAATCAGGGTAAAAAAAGGGTTAATAATATATGAGCAAGATAGTAAAAACTCTAATATTTCAAATTGCTATTTGGTTCAGATATCCCATCAGTTAACCAGTAATCTTAACAGTACCGAATTTTAGCAAGAATAATAAATTTGTTACTACTAGTATTGAAGCTTTTTTTATTCTTTAAAGTTGCTTTTTTTTCCTAAAAACTTCCCCTCCTGTTTCTGTTTATTAATATTCTTATGCAAAATATTCAAAAGTAATAATTAATATGATTTTATAAATACATCAAGCAGAATATTGGCAGTTGCAAATATATCACAGTTTTATATTCAAATGATCAAATAATAATCACCAAATAAGTATAATAAAAAATTTAAATTCTTTATTTATATAAAATATTCATAAATATAAAATCCAATAATCTATATATACTATATAATATACTATGTAAATAAAAAAACTAAGATAAAAATTTATAAAGTATAAAAAATAGAAGTGAAATTAACTTTAACATGCAAACTAGTAATTTAAACTATTTGACTCTAATTTTCATATAAAATAAACTTCATTCAATATTATGTTCACTATCTTGACAAATTTCATTTAGTTCTATAAAAAAAAATAGATTAGATAAATTAGAAAGGAAATATTAGTAAAATTACAAATAAATAATAACTTACCTAATTCACTTAATTGAAGATCTAAGCATTCTGAAACTGTAAATTATATATTCACAGTATTTAAATGTTAACAAATGTAAAAATAAAATAATTATATTATAATAATAATTAAGAAAATACTTACTTGGAATTGCAGCAGTATAATTAGTATCTATTAAAAAAATAAAATAACATTAATAATGTAAAATAGATTATATAATAAAGCAAAAAAAAATTTAATTACCTGAACTGAATTGAAAAGATGATAAATCTAAAGAATTTTCTGATTTTGGAAGATCTTTAAAATTTAAAAGTCTACTAGTATAAATTGCTTGTGGATGTGTTTTGAAGCTTTTGGGTTTATTTTCATTTGACCTGTTCTTGAATTTTTCTTCTCTAATTTTATCACATTCTTTTATTTGAAAATATATTTCACTATTTTGACTATTGATACCTTCTTCACTATTTTCAATATATTTAATTTCATCATCCCATTTCTTTAATAGTTGATGTAATTCTTTAGCAGTTGGTCTATTTTTTATTTCAGCATCCCAACATTTTATTATCAAATCTACGAGTAACTTTGGTATGTTTTTAGAAATTGTTGGTCTAAATCCTTTACAAATTTTAATAGCTAAAAAACCATCATGAGGAATATCATCAAAAGGAATTTCTTCAGAAAGAAATTCGTTCATTATTATTCCAAATGAGTAAATATCTGCTGCTTTTGTATATTGATATCCACGTAAAACTTCTGGTGCCACATATGGTAATACTCCATAAATTCCTTCTTCTTTATTTGTTTGCTTTAAATTTGCTGGTTGACACATTCCTAAATCACTTATAAATGGAGTAAGTATATTAAATAATATATTACCTGAATGAAAATCTTTGTGAACTTTATCAGCATAATGAATATCTAAAAGTCCTTTTGCAATTTTTTGTAATTGATTAATTTTTGATTTATAATTAATATAATTATTTGATTCATTTAAATAATTTCTCAAATTTCCATTTTTACAATAAAATAAAACCATCATATACTCTTTACTATTTGGATCTTGAGTAATTCCATAACATTGAATAATATCATTAATATGAATAATAGAATTAATCTAATTATCATCAAAAAGGAAAAATTTTATTAATAAATAAATGCAAAGAACAATCTTTATTTAAAAGACAAAATAAGTTTAAGTTACCTCATTTAAAAAATCTGAACATATATCAGAAGAATTATTCAAACTTTTTAATGCATATTTATTACTAGACATTCTATACCATTCTTGACTACTAATACTCCAATAGTAAATATATCCATCAGACCATTCTGCTGAATAAACCTTACCAAAACCACCTTCTGCAATAAAAGTGATATTTTGAAATTTTTCAAAAGGTATCCATTCAAGACAATTATCATGATGTAAAGCATTAAGTTGTGATTGTTGTATAAATTCATCAATAACTTTATTTCCACTAGTCCAATTTTTAAAGTTATCCTTAAATCTTTTAGCATTACAAGGTTGACACCAAAAGACTCCTGTGCCAGGTTCTTTACATTCTGCACATATTCCATATGCTTGTTTTCTTTTTTCTAAATCATCTATATAAACTACTCTTTCATCTACATCAATAGTTGAATCATTAGTAGAAATTGTAACATAATCCTTTTAATAGACAAAAAATTATTAATATTTTAACTACAAAAATTCAATAAAATAATTATAATTATTAAAAATATTAAATTGCTATTACCCGATATTTATCAGTAGCATAATTCCATAAATGTGTTGGCTTTTCATCCATATTAATTAATTTGAGTTGTGGATTATAATTTTAATTTTAGTTATATAAACAAATAACTACGTTACTCGCTAGAATTATTATAAGCAAAAGAAAAAAATTATTAATTGAACGAAGTTCAATAAATTGCGTACTTTTATTTGTATTACTGTTTGTACTACTATTGTATAGAAAAATTACGACAAAGAAAATTCGTAGATCATCATAAAAAGACAGACATAAGAGATCTACATTTTGTAAATAATTAAAATGCGAAAATCTAACTTATTTTTTCGGTAAAGAACGAATAAAGTGTAAAAATTATATTCAAATAATAAATGGCTCTTATATTAACAAATCCATTCTATAATACAAAATATTAACAAATGTTTTTTTTTTAAAAAAAAGAAAATCTAATATTCTGAAATTATAAATCATATAATTTGTATTAATTGAATCAAACATTATCTGGAATATTTTTTTAGTTAAAAATTCTCCTTTTATATGTCATTTGTTTACGGTTTTACCAAGATCGAATGTACGTCCAAGTCATCTGGAAATTGTAAGAGAATAAGCGTATTACCAATTAATTAATATTTTGTATGATAGACGTGACAGTTACAAGATTATTATACACAGCTTTAAATTTTAAGTATCAGTTTGAATTTTATAAAGCTTTTATCTTATAAATAACGTACATACATGGATTTATTAACATTTTTTGTTTAAAGATGAAACTTCTATTTACTAACCATTAAATTTTCAACTTTCAAAGTAAAGGAAACATATAATTAAATTACATGTATTCGAAACTAATAATAATTAAGAGAAATATTCTAATGTTGTAAAATTACACATGCATCTTTTTGTATTTAAGTTCCCTGTGCATTTTCTGAATTAACAAAATAATCCTTTATTATCGTCAAATCTAAATAGTAAAGAAAATATAATTAAATTATGGCAAATGTTAGTCGCCGCAAGCCACAATATTCCTGGAGGACGAGGTCATGGAAAGTTCGATCAGAAGACAAATTAAGGAGCTAAAAACTAACATTTGAACCCAAATAATTAAAGGGAATAGTAAGATGCATATTTATCATGAAACTTAATTAGGCGATATTAAATTCCACTTATGTTGTGTGAACGTTATTATGAAATTACACGTGAAAAATGATTTTAAATGAACGCGACAAATGACCTTTATTAAATTCTCAGATCAAATTTATAACAAAAATGATTAATATTTTCCTTAATCGTGATTTTTTCCTTTAACCAATTTAATAAGTTTACTCTATTTTTTATTATTAGTGTATAACAATAAATTTTCAACTTTATTGATCTAGCCTATTCATCTTGCGTTCATATAATAAAACACTATCGATTCATCTTATTTATAACTTGTAAATTGCATCACATATTATAAATTATAATATAATTTATTAGAAATTTCGAGAGTCGAATAATTTATCCCTTTTTGAAATTCCATCGTAAAAATATCTGCCACAAATTCATAAATGGTAAAGTATTCATGTTAATAAATACTGGTAAAGTATATAAATCAGCCGCGTTATACTAATAATTTTGATAGACATCTAAATTGTAACGAGTAAAATACGTGAAGTACGGAATGGTAAGATTTATTTTCTTTAAAATTTATAGACATTTCATATTATTTACACCAAATCTTGATAAAATAATTAAATCAAATCAAATTATACCAATAGTTTATAGTTTATAAAGATGAAAAATTATATAATGGTAATAAAATTAAAGTAGGATTTCATAATAATGAAGTAAATATACTAGTCCAGAATATTTGTTATTAGATTTTGGGCAAATAATAACTGATAATATTATTATTATAAGAAATTTGCTATTTACCACCCACTGGTTAGGGTGGATTTTTTTTATGGGATCTGCGGAATAATAATTTTGGTTCTAATTATATAGTAAAATTAAGAATTTTTAAATCCTTATTTTTGTATGGTAAAGGTTTTTTATTGGTCAATAAATTAAAATTGATTGCTATTAAACATATACAATAAACTAATAGAAAGATTTTTCAATTTTATCTTTTAAATATGAAATTAATTAGCACAATTAATTAGCACAATTAGCACAATAATAAATACATAATTAAAAATAAGCTATACCATTTGTAAAGATAACAAGATTAATTGAAATTTTAATCAGAAACAGTGAAAGTTAAAAATAGAGAAAAAACACAATTATAAATTAGTTAAAAAGAGTTAAACTGAAATAATTTTTTTTGCTATAATATATTACAAATCTGTTTAATACATGATACCATTGTTGTAAATTTACTCTTTTATATATAGTTAATTATAAAAAGATAATTATATTCTGCATGCATTACTGATAAATATTATTTAAAAGGCAATTTCTATTTAAACATGGGGTGTTTGAATCCAGACCATGTGATTATTGCCATTTTAACTAATAGTATATATAAACTTCAAAATTAGTAAATAAATGGATTTTTGCCTGCTCTACAAGTTTACCTAAGACATCAAAGGTGCTTTTAAATATCAGTTTTGACTTTAAGCTACACAAATCTGATATATTATTTAACATAATAAGATTAGACTTAATTAGAGGGATTAGAGAAGAAGCGCAATTTAACAATATACAAAAATATATTAAGTTACATGATAATTACAATCAATTATAAAATAATAGAAAAATGCTGTATAATCATATAGTAATAATTTAAGTAATTTATCAACTTTATTTATTATTTATTTAATCATTAATCTTGTATCTTTTGGCAGCTCTTGTATTAGTTTTTATTTCATTATATACAAATATATCTTTTCCTATATTTCAACATAAATTGCAACATAGGTATAAAGATTTGTATTTTGATTTAAAGCTTTCTGAAGATACTGCCAATTTATTATCATATCTATACTAAACAAATATCACAATTAATATCATGAATAATATACTAATTCCATTGGTATTTCACAATTAATTTTTTTCTGTACAATAATTTTGTTATATAAAATATAATTCTCTGCCTATATTATGCAGGCATTGCAAAACTAATCCTTGAGAATGTAAAGCAAATTGCATTATCTAAGGAAGAGAAATGTCTTTTAACTGAGTATAAAATAAAAACATAGATAAACTGCTTATACAGCATTGCTAATTTAACCATCAATGGCAAAACACACTTTACCACATTAAAAATAGAGAGCAATAGTATTCATTTTATATTGATCATTATCAAAAAATTGAAAATATACATAAACTTGCACAAAAAAAAAATGGAGATTGCCTTTCAGATCAATACTATAATTTACATACCGAGCTAGAATGGATTTGTAAAAATAATCATAGATGGAAAGCCATTCCCAATAGTATTCAATAAGGAAACAGTTGGTGTTCATATTATGTAGGTAGCATGAAATTAACTCTTAGGAATGCAAAGTAAATTGCATTAACTAGGCATGGATAATGCCTTTCAACTATACATGAAACTGAAATTGGTTAATTTTGACCTCCAAAATGGTTGAAATGGTCGAAATGATTTCGACTTGAGCCCCTCCAAAAGTCAAAATGGTCGAAATTACGTCATAGTCATATGATTTTATAGTAAACAATAATATTAAAATTCAAAGTTAACGAACTTCGCATTCAGTGATTCGATCTTTATGATCTTTACACGGTTGGATTCAGCTCATCGAGAGGATTCCTATGATATGTATTTCATATTTGTAACATCAATATTGACGGAGTTATTCACGTTTAAAATTTGGTATTAATAGTCTTATAATTTTTATAGTAAATAATAATTTTAAAATTCAAAGTTAACGAACTCCGCATCCAGTGATTCGATTTTTATGATCTTTACGCGGTTGGATTCAGCTCATCGAGAGGATACCAATGATATGTATTTCATATCTGTAGCATCAATATTGACGGAGTTATTCACATTTAAAATTTTATATTAAATTATAATTATAAAAATCATATGACTATGATGTAATTTCGACTATTTCGACTTTAATTTCGACTTTTGACCTTCCCAAGTTAAAATATTTCTACTTTTGGGCTTTAATTTCGACTTCATATATACTTTCAACCAAATATAAAAATAATCAACAGCCATTATTATGATATTGCAAAGAAGGCCATTTATAGAAAGCATCTTTTGGTAATATGAAAAGTGGTATTTGGTGTCCATTTTGTTATAAATATAAATATAAACTATTATGTTGAGAAATTGTAATAAAGTATTTTGGTTCACCATCTGAAAATCGCAAACCAGATTTCTTGAAAATTCCTGAACGCCCTAAAGGATTAGAATTTGATATATATTATTCAGAATATAGTTTTGTAATTGAAATGCAAGGTGAACAACATGAAAAATTTAATAAGTTTTTTCATAGAGGCAATTCTAATAACTTTATTAAACAGCAAGTACAAGATTAACTCAAGAAAGAATTATTATATGAAGAGAATCAAATTGTTTTAAAATACGTTTGGTATTATGAAGACAGAATCCCGAACAATATATATAAATGTAAAAATTTTTCCTATGTAAAATTTATTATTGCTTATTTAATAACATATTTTTAAAATAGTCAGATATAATTATACATAGCAGAGTATTAAATTATTAATCAGATATATATTTGCGTAGCAGGATAGATTTTTTTAATATATATATAATATAATATATATTTTACATTTTTTACATTAAAAAAATCTAATAAAATATGTAAACAAAGTTATAAACATGTTTATATAAAAAAAAATTTACTATTTTTAATATAAAGATTAAGTTATACTTGTAGCCGAAACCCCTTCAGTTTCAGCTAAGTTTTAATTTTAGACTTTCAGCCAATCTCAATTTATAAACCTTGTTTCTGAAACTGAAACCCTAGCCGAAATCCAAAATCATGTCTGAAACCTTTTATATAGCTAAAACTATGATTAAAAGTGCTTAAAACTATGCGTCTGAAAATCTGAAGTCTGAACCCTTTTATTTCAAAATTTCTTCAATTTTCATATGTCATACCACAATAATTCTGGCCACTAATTTTCATAATCTATATATATAAGTACGTATGAATACGTATATAGCAATCCCAAATATTCCTAATAATTTAGTTCATTAATAATATAATAATTATAAAAATTAAATAAATAAATAATAAAATTAATAAAAAAGATTTCAGACCTTAAGCCTATAATAAAAAATAGTTTTAGCCTATATAAAGTTTTGGTCAAAGTTTCAGATTTCAGCCAAGGTTTTGGATTAGTGTTTTAGACTTTCAGTTTCAGCCATACCTTTAGAAGGTTTCAGCTACAAGTATAGATTAAGTTAATTGTATATGTAATATAGAAAATATTTTTAGATGTGATTGTGTAATGAATTTTTAATAAAACAAATACGCGTCCATATAATATTTAAAATATAAATAATATATGCGTTTGTGTAATATTTAAAAAATATATAATTAAAATAATAGCAATGGGTGGATGTGAAGGGAGAAATAAGTAGTTTTCTATTTTTTTATAATTTTACACTATAATTTTTGTAATAATCAATAAAAGTTATTTCATTTTTACTTAGAAAATTTTTTAAAAATATTTTTTTGATAAATTTTACAGTAAATTTTAAAAATAAAAATTCCATGTATTGGTGATGTTACAAAAAACATGAATAAATCCATAAATATCTATTCAATTATGATAAAAATATATATATAAATAGATTCGAACCTGATGAATAATATTACTTAAGAAGATTTTAAATATTTCCTTTAACTAAATAGTCTAAATTATGCTCTGAAGTCACAGAACAGATATACGAAAATATTAATAAGAAACATTTATAAGTTGTAATATTACAAAAAAATAATAATAGCTTTATTTATATATTATTTTATTTTTTTAGTTTTTTTTTATATACATATTTTATAAAAAAAATTATATATAAATATATATATGTCATAAAATAAGTTGTTTAACAATGTAAAAAATTTATAGGTTAGATAAAAGTTTGTTTAGCAGACATGAAAAATATTTGCTTATTGACCTTAGTAAATTTTGAATTTTTCATCTGACCTATATATATATTATTCGGGATCCTAGTATGTAACCTCTATTTCTTGTTAGATCCAAAAAACTATATGCAGTAAAAGATCTGATATAAAGAATATTATCTTCTCCTATTATGCTAAAAATATGTCCCAAATAGTTAGTTATTATACTGATGATATAAAAATGCATCAATGGTCATTAATAGCTATCTTCAAAAAGGTGAATTCATTGTATTTGATTTAAATAAATCTAAAGATAATTTTCTTGCAATTCGGCTAAGGTTTGACACTTCATTAAATCTGCAAAAGGAGATAGAAGCTAGGTAGAAATGTAAAGAAAAAAATACTTTAGTTAAAAAGTAAGATTTAACTTTATAGATGCCAGCTCTTTTTCTACCTTCTGCACCTGCATCTTCAGATCTTTGATCTTATAGTATATTTTTTTATTTGCATTAACCTGTTCATTATATTCTTGATTTATATCTCGCATGAACTTTTCAAAAGTTTTTCTATTATAATCAAGAAGATGTTAAAATAGTACTTTAACTTTTTAAGCTTATTCATAATCTGGCAATTATTTTATTCTTTATGATTATGCTTTATTAGCACTTTTGGCCAAGTGATATAATTAGTTCTGCAATATATATAACCAGTAATGCTGGAAATATATTATATTCTGGCTAGCTTCGAGAATGCAATAATTTTTTCTGAAATATAGTTTTACATTTTTAATTTAATGAGTTTGAATAAACCTTTAATGTATGTCTTAAATAGAATTCAATTTATTCAGATTTCTCAGAAATAGATTCTAATGGAATAGGATTTTTAAAATTATGTAAGAGTCTCTGATAAGTTCTCTTAATAAGACTTTTAGATAATCTATTAATAATATATTTATAATTAGAATGAAATATTTTATTAGGTATAATTTTGTGCAAAAAAGTTTGCATACAAGAATTCACCCATAGGCCATTAAAATAAATTTACATATCAATGTCTGCTAAAAAACTCTGAACATGACACCTGGCCAATAATTAATAAGAAAAAAATCACATGGTTTTGACAGAGACTTCTGACTGAAATTTTGCCAAATTAATACATGATTTTTTACAAAATACAGATAATATTATTTTATTTTATAATTGCTTATCTTCTAATTTTACAATTCTAACCTTAAGTTTAATATTTCAACCTTAATTTTATTATTCTTGACTTTAAGTTTATTAATGTATTATTTTAATATATTAATTTTACTGGAACTATCTATTTCAGATTGCATACTTGTATAATATAGTAATATTTATATTTAATATGTTATTATTCAAAAATAAAAAAAATATGTATGCGTTACAATTTGTAATGCTAATTACTTTTACAAGAAATATGAATATATGTAAAATTATCTATCAGGGTTACTTTATTAATATAAAATTAAAGTATAGGATAGGGATTGGAAAAGATTCGATTAAAATTAAAACTATTGAAAATTGATAAGAATCGATTTTAAATCAAATCTTGAATAAAAATCGAATCTACTTATTGTGGCGCAGTTTCGTTAATTAATGACCGTAAATTATTATTTGTTTATAATAGTTTACAAGGGCGGATCCTTTAATTTTAGCCAAATTCATAATTCTGGTTGCAAATCACGTGATGGAATACAAACTTTCTAAAAAGGAAATTTTATCTTCCAATAAAATTCAAGTTGCTATCACATAAGGTTGTACAAGTTTCCAAAAAAGGATATTTATTTGTCAATCACAGTTAATTTTGTAATCATGTGATATGTATTTAAATATCCTTATTATAAATAGTATAAAAAAAATCGGTATTTACGAAACGATTAATCATGTTTAATCGATTTTAAAATTGATTCTAATAATGGGAATCGATTCCAATCCCTAGTACAGGATAAAAAAATCTCAATTATATAAAGGAAAAAATATTGTTAAACTACTCTTATCACTTTTATAAGCTTTAGAATTAAATAGCAAAGATAAATCTACAATCAAAATTCTTTACATATTAAAAAAAAGGTTAATGAATAAATATCACGAAATAAATGTATTTGTGAATATATAATATAAATACATACTTGTAATAACAATAAACTTTATTATTAAGCTCAATTTTTTTGACATTATTTTACAACTTGATGTGAATATAAATATGCATATTATCATATATATTAACATGAATTTTATAGGATTAGAATTGCAACATCAATATAATATATATTACAAAAGGATAATTGTCAAGCATTATACAATTACTTTTTTTACTCTTTCATATTAACATGTAAATTAATATAAATCAAATATATTGTATAAATATTATGCTAATTTCAAGGTCTACTAGGATATTTAATATTTTATAATGGCGATTTAAATTATATTATAGTAAAATTGCAGTAACTAATAGAATATGAAAAAATAAAATAAACTATAGAGTTAAATATTAGCTTATGAAAGTATTCTTGCAAAATTTAATAAAAAAGTTTGTATATCTAACTATACTTTAGATAATTATTAGAAAAACAGGAAAAATCTAAAGGTATAAAAATGAAAATCATTGTCAAAGATATTTTGAAAATGAAATGTAAAATAGTAGTAGATATTTTAAACAGTATAAACTAACAGTATTTTATCATAATAATCATGTATAAACAGGAGATATACCTGAAATGCTTAAGTATCTTTGATCTGTGATATGTATGAATATGAAAGAGTACTTGATTTTTAACAATGTAAGGTAAATAAGAATTTACATATAGTTAAATTTATATAATAAATAAAATAAATTGAATCAGTTTATAATAAATAAATTACATAAAACTTGGTTTTTATAATTATTTAAATTATTATATATCAAATATTGAAATAAATCTTATTTTTAAAATTTTTTTTTATACTGCAATGATGAAGTAAATATTGTTAAGTAAATTGATTTTAAATATCTTTATCTAATAATGATTTTAATAATCTTATACAGCTAAAATTAGTTTGCAGTTATTATTTTTTAGTAATATTAAAATAAATATTTTTTATAGCTAATTATTGCTTATGATAAATATAGTTGATAATAGAACAACAACAATAATTAACAATAATCTAATAATATTAATATTTGACATAACATTTGAAAATCCATTATTTGTAGCATAAAAGAAAGGAGGATTTTCAGGTATATCATTAGTTGGAGTAGATTTACTTGTAGAAGGAATACTGCTAGTAGTATTAGTTTGTTTAGGAGATACAGTAGGAAGTGGAAGAGGCAATACTCCATAAACAAAAGAAATTGATAAAGTAAATTTTTGTTCAGTATTCTGAGGATTTGATATACCTAAGCAAATAATTGTTTTAGCTTCGAAAGGAGGATCTTTTACTCTATTACACTCCAATGCAGGAAAATCAAAACACGATAAATCTGACCAATATATTGAAAATTTTGCTTGCGGATCTATAAATAATTGTATACCTGTGAAGTTTGTTGCATATGTCAGCAAACCTAATATACCCGGATATTGTAATGGATGATTTCCTTGTACATTTATACCAAAATTTTGTGTTGGTGTTTGATCTGTTTCCACCACCTTCATTTTATAATCTAATAAAAAAAGGAGGACGATTAAAGCCATGATTTATGATTTATTTGATATTGCAAACAATTGTTAATTGTTGCGTACTTATATAGTTTGTTTCTTGTTTACTACAAATATACCATGTTTGTGCTGATGGTATAGCTCCTAAACCACTGTATACGTCGTCTTGTTGTGCTTTTAATGTTGGTATATTCTACAATAAATTAAATTAATTAATCATTTTTTTATGTATATTGATTCAGCTTAAACTTACTTGCAACGTTAAGAAAAAAGCCAAAACGAATATAATCACTAAATTATTATTTATCATATTGTAATATTAATTATTAAGGAGAAAAATTTTTCGTTCTGAAACAAAAAAACATATGATCGTACTTTTATATATAGCTTACTTCGTAACACGAATTTTAGGTCTGATATGGTCTAAATTTAGAGAACAGATGTTTGCAAATCAAAAAGTTCACATTCATCATTTTACAATAAGATTATTTTGTCGTGAAAAAAAAATGAGTCTCGCACCTCAATTCGCAGGACATCGTTGGGGTTCTAATAACGCACCACACATTTTAGAAGTTTATTTAGACTATGTGGTTCGTGTTCATTGCCATTTGTTTAATTATTAGAATTATTTTATGTGAATTTCAATTTTAATGAGAATTATTTTGTGATTTCTATATAGTGCCCATTTTCTGCTAAACTTTACAAGAGACTTCGAAATGTGAGTACCTCGATAAATCCATTCTTTTGATAAATTTGCAAATTTATATTTGTTAATATATCACTATTTCTTAGGAGGTTCTACCTTTTATTGATCAAAATTATTCTGGAAAAGTGCAATTCATCTTTAGACAACAAGTGCAGCCCTGGCATCCCTTTTCAACTGTAGTTCATGAGGTTACTTGATTACTTAAGTGATTTAAATTTTATATTTTGTATAATTCTTTTTTTTAAAAAAAAAATCGTACATTTTGTCAAGTAGGCCGCAATTGCTGTCGAGAAGCTTGATCCTTCAAAATTTTTTGTTTTCTCTGACAAATTATTTGACGTTCAAAAACAGTATGCATAGTTCATATAAAAAAACTTTTCCAAATCATAATAATATGGTAATATTATTTATTTTTTATTGATGTTTTAGGTACTATGATGAATCTGTACAGAATTTGACTCGAGCACAAATTTATGAATCATTGGCTAGTCATGTTAGTGAGATTGGATTATCATCAAGTGATTTTCTTCTATTACTTCATATACCAGTATCAATCAAATCGGAAGAAGCTCGTAATGCAGGTAATAAAATTACGAATGAATTAAAATGGCATATTAAATTAGGAAGACAAATAGGAATTCATGTTAGTCCAACTTCTTTATTTGACGGAATTATTGATAATGATATTAGTTCTGGGTGGACTCTTGATCAATGGAAAGAATGGTTAGCTAAAAAAGTTATTTGATTGATATTTGCAATATTTTTATTACAAGACCAAATACAACGTGTAAAAAAATAAATATCATATTATTTTCATGTGAATAAGTGCAATTTAAAAAAATAAATTACAGGCGGATTAAGACTATATGGAATGATCATCCATGAGACGATTAATCAGACACTAAAACAATGAAATACAAAGAATGCTTATATGTATTGGATATAGAAATGAAAACAATTAAGCTTTCGTTCATTGAGCTTTTAATTTGATTCATTACATTACATGCAAAGCTATTGATAAGACTAATAAAGGCTAAGAAGTTCTAGTTCTCTAATGGTGAATTCAATTAATCATACTGAAATTGTGCGAGAGTAGAATTGAAAAGTCATAACTCAATTTGGTCTGCGCGTCATCATCTAATTTATCACTAGCTTCGATTAGAACGTCAGGTTATAATAGGAAGATTTCAATTTCAATGATAGCGAATGAATTGAAATATAGAAAGGTAACATTAAACGAAAAAAACAAATTATCAATGCGGTATTTTATAAAAATAGGTCAGACTAACTAGAACAGTCAAAAATAGTTGTTCTATATACTAAGGTCAAAATAGATGGATTGCTACTCTTTATATTCTTACTTTTAGTAGAATTAAAGAAAATTTGCTAAAAAATATCATACAACCTATAGGGGAAGTTAAAGAAATATCAACATTGGAAGAGTTTCTAATTATGATTACGAAATAAATTATGAGGACTTGGCTCGTTCATGGACCAATGTTTCGTGCTTCTACTGAAAGTGCGAACGACCTTTAAGAATACCTTGTTTAGGAGTTAACTGTAGTAGTACCGATACTATTAATTGGGCTTATACAAATTGTGGCGGTAATTTTCTGATATCTAATCAGACTCGCATTAAATGTAGAGGTTCGCTAGTTGGAAAGATAAAAGACTTTTCTTTCAATTGTTTTAGCCATAGCAGAAATTATACATCGACAAGTCAAATAGACGTTAATTCTTTTTTAAAGGCTTTGTTTGTTGTACTGAGATGAATGGAGTAGTATTTTATTTATAATTTTATTTACCACATATTCTTTCACAATTAATCATAAGAATTGAAAAATATATACCTCTATTAGATTTAATACAAATTACAAATCTCTGTTATGGCTAACTGCGGGTAGTATTAAATTTATCAACTAAAATGACTCACTAGATTTAACCAATCAAATTTTGGTCAAGTGACGTAGTATTGTGAGTACGTCATTGGAAATCCCATATTTTATGAAATGTTTATAAAATGGACCCAAATTTCAAATTATAAAACCTTATCTTCTTCCCACGAGATACCTGCAGATCGTATAAACCTTTCGCCTTTTACTAAAGGTTTCCGTGTGGGTGTCTCGGTGCAGTGGGATATGTAAATTTTTTGAAAAAAAAAAATTTCTTCGGAAATTTTTTTATTTAGAATTATTAGCGGGTTGGGAAATTGGGAAGGCTGTGAAAAAAAGGGAAACAAAGGAATCTCATTGTAATTTTTCCAAGATCGATAAGATTTCATTATTTCATTGCCACAACTGCTTTTTCGGAAATATTTAAATAATTATAAAAGTGTAACAAAATACTATTGTTTGCCAAGCCCCTTTTTCCGTTAATAAAAACTATATAAAGTGGTCTTTTTTTTAAATGCAATATAAATATTCTCTCGTCTGTGTAAATAAAGTGGCGCAGCTAAGACAATGTTTAAATTTACGATGTTACTTTTAATTTTCAGTTTAATGATAATAGAGGTATGTTTTTTTTGAGCGCACGCACTTTAAAAAAATTTTCTCGACAAATTATTACGCTTCGAATTTCTTAAAAAAAAATAAAAAAAATAAAATAAAATAAAATATTTTCTTAGAGAGTTTCGATGGTGTATTCTCAAGATACGAGTAGTGGTATTGGATCGATTCCTGAGGGACAGACTTGGTATATTTGTAGTAAAGGTGCTACAAATTTTATCGGTAAGCAAAAATTTTTTTTTTGAATGAGAAAAAAAATTGTTGTAAGTGATAAAATCGAGTAACCAAACTGGGAACATAAAATTTCAAAGTCCTCAAATATCACCAAAAAAACTAAAATTTTCTACTTTTATTTGCACGATAATTTAACATAGATTATTCGATGAGAATGGTAGAAACATCACAAGATCCAACACCAGGATTTGGTACAAATGTAATTGGAAATCATCCAAAACAATTTAATACAGTTGGATTACTTACAATGGTAGCAAATTATACAAATATACGAGCGTTAGTTGATCCAAGTAGACCCATCGTATTATTTAGAGAGGAATTATCTTGTAATGTTGAGCCTGTAAAAGAATGTAGTAAATCAACTAATCCTCCTCTTTCTATACAAGATATTCTATGTTTAGCAATTATGAATCCAAATTCAAATATTACAAAATTTACTGCTAGTATTTCATTCGATCAAAATGCTAGTAAACCTATTCTTACCATTCCCCCTCCTATAGATGATAACCCTAGTAATACAAATAATTCACCTTCTTCTAGTCCAACCAAATCTACTCCATATATTGATCCAACTGAAACACATTCATTTTTTGTTAATATTGCAAATAGATCAAAAATTATCGATCCGGGATATTTATTACTTCTAGGTAGTTTTATATCAATAATCTTAACGTGAATTATCAAATGAATAATTTTTAGAATGTAAATATTATAAATATTATTCATATTTATATTAAAAATCTTATGGAAGTTTAGTCTAGAAAAATAGCTCATTACAAAATAAAATAATGTAATTAATAAGATAAAAAAAAAAAAAAGTTTTTTAAAGTTTATTTTTTTGTTTAAAATGTAGAAAAAAAAGTTTTCAAATTTTTTATCCTATTTTGCTTTTTCTATCTTGCTTTTTCTATCTTGCTTTTTCTATCTACCGTATAAATCATCAAAGATGAGTGAAACTTTATCAAAACCAAGAAACGTTAACCATACTCTGAAAAAATTGTACGATTGGATGGAGAAAGGGTTAATCGATATTAACCCAGAATTTCAACGTGGTATATAATATTATAAATAATTAATTGACTCTTTCAATTTTTTCACGCTAATATTATATTTTCTTTTTTTTTAGATGTTGTATGGAATTCTACTAAACAATGCCTTTTAATTGATTCGATATTCAAAAATTATTACATTCCACCTATTTTATTCTCTTGTAAGAAACTAGATGAAAATAGATGGTTACGTATTTGTATTGATGGAAAACAAAGATTGACTTCAATTCAAAGGTAATAATAACCAACCAATTCGTTATGATGGTTGCAAATTAATTTTCACAATCTTTCATTTAGATTTATGAACAACGAAATTCCATACTCCCGTAAAATTGAGGGAAGAATGAAAAAGATCTACTATAAGAAAGTTGGAGGTCAATATTTTCCAAATACATTGTCAATTGGAGAAAAAGATGAGTTTGATAATTTTGAGATAGTTTGTAGTATGTATCAGACAAGTATAGTATTATATTATGGTATTTGTCAAATTAACATAATTTTATTTCATTTTAGTTGAATACTATAATCTGAATATTCAACGGGAACAGGAAATCTTTAGTCGCGTGCAGCTTGGAATGCCATTGACGGTGGCAGGTATGAAATAATAGACGTATATATATATATTACTATCATACTATGTTTCCTAATTTTTTATTCTCTTTCTAAGAAAAATTACATGCGGTCACGTCCCCAATTGCTGAATTTGCTAAAAGTATTCTTGAAAAATATCCATCTATAAACAAGATTATAGATAGTAAACGTGCCAAACCATTTCAACTGATTGTACAAGCTCTTCACATGATTGAACTTAATCCAACAAAGTATAACGCGACTTCTGGTGTTATTACCAAATATTTACAAGACGAACGTTCCGTACCTCGAGAACTTAAACAAGAAGCCGACCAAGTCTTTGCATCATTGGACATTTTAATTCAGGTTGAAGAAGAAATCTTTACTAGAGACCATCGAGTTTCTCCAATCGAATTTGTATTTTTTTGCTATATTCTCGACAAATTTTCTAATTTGGAACTAGCTTGGTATCAAGACACTCTTTTGCAAATGAAAGAGTATGTTAGGAATCATCATGCTGATATTAGATTCAATCAGACGGTTTATAAAACTCTCTGGAATTTTGTTGACGACGTTGAAAATAATTTGGCTGATAATGACGGCCATAAATCAAAGAAAAACAGAAAAAAATAATAATAAGTCGAAGTGAATTTTCATTTTAAGGTATATTAAATCAAAAAAAAAAAGAAAAAAAAAAAAATTTTTTTACTGATTACAATTTGTTACTAGAACCAGACTTAAAGGATACGTGACGCGGAAATCATATAAATTTTGGCAAAATATAGTTGCTTCTTTTTGTTCCCTTTATTTTATTTACTGCTTATTTTGCTTGTTTTTATTCTTGATAATTTTATTACATGTAGACGTAGTTTTTTTTCATGTAGTATATAAATAAAGAACATCAATAAAAATATAATAAAATTGTTAAAATTGTAAAAATTTGTCCCGCAGCATTCTTTGACCGCAGTAAATCATTCTCCGGGTCTGAAGAATATAAATATATAAATAAACCCTTTACTTTATAACTTACTTTATAACTATAAAAAAGAAAAAACTTTATAAAGATGCCTATTAACCAACCTAGCAATCAAATAAAGTATATATATATTTTTCCCTTATTAATTTATTTTATCTTTTGCATTCTTGGTCTAACCTTGTATTAAAAAATCTGTTATAAAGACTTACAAACGTATCTATAGTTCGTTTAAGAAAAGGAGGCAAGCGTTTTGAAATTGCTTGTTATAAAAATAAAGTACTAGAATATAGGAACGGAGTGTAAGTTTCATAAGTAATTTAATTTTTTAATTTTATATTATATTTTTTTTTCCTTTATCTTAGTATTATTATAATTTGATAGGGAAACAGATTTAGATAATGTTATTCAGATCAATAACGTATTTACGAATGTGTCTAAAGGAGAAGTAGCTCCAAAGGATAATCTACAGAAATGTTTCAAAACGGACGATTTGGATCAAATTATTAAGGAGGTAAAGATAATAATTAAATAATTTGTATTTTATTCATATTCTCATTTCCCCCCTTTTTACAATAAAATTTATTGAATAGATTTTAAAGAAAGGAGAATTACAAGTTAGCGAGAAAGAAAGAACACATCAAATTGATAATATTTATCGTGAAATTGCTACTATGGTTGCAGAAAAATGTGTTAATCCTGAAACCAAGAGACCATACACTGTTACGATGATTGAAAAAGCAATGACCGAATTGCATCTTTCGGTAAATGTAAATCGTAATACGAAATCACAAGTGTTAGAAGTTATTAAGCAGCTTCAAGAAAAGAAAATTATTCCTATTGCTCGTGCACAAATGCGCTTAAGAATTACTGCTCCAATTAAAGAAAAGAAAGTTAAAGAAAAATTGGTTCCTATGATTTCTAATATTGAAGATGAAAGTTATAATGACGAATATGAATTGGCAAGTATAACGATTTTGATATTGAATTATTTTTAATAATGTATGTATTATTAATATTTATATATTTCTTATTAGATATGCACGATTGATCCTGGACAGTTTAGAAAAATCAATGATATATTACAATCAAATACGAATGGAAAAGGTCAATTAGAATTGTTATCTTTAAATGACACTAGCGAAGGAGATATTAAATTTTAATAAAATTAAATACATAATAAAAAAATCAATAAATTTATTATTAAATTAATGTTTTATTAATTACAAATTATAAATTACAAATCATAAATATTGTTTTTTGTGTTATTTTGTATATAATAATGCGATGAAATTAATGAAGATTGCAACAAATGAATATGATGAATAAAATGTTTTCTACATAAATGCAAATGTTGAAATTACTTATTTCTATTGTGAAATATATTATTAATGGTCGATAGATAATTCTTTTTTTTTCCTTTACGCAAGCTAATATTTTGCATATTATGAAATGCTTCTCGAACATCTTTCATTAATTCGGGTTTCTGTTTCTCTAAATCTTTAATAACTATTTCGCTAAATACAGTCCTTTCGCCATTATATTCACCAGCTTCGGCAGCTTTATCTTTAAGTATTTTATTGATTTTCATCATCGTTATAGGGTCGAAATCATTTCTTTTTGATAAAATATATTTTAAATATTTTCTCGGAACATCACCGTAAGATTTCCGAATTGAATAATAACCCAAATGAACTGATTCTTTTGAAGTACCCAGAAAATCATGTAATTTATTAATTACATCTAATCGGGAAGTTAATTCTTGTGCACCAATATATTGACCAAAGAATTGTGAAATTGAATGAATATCTTTTCTCATCTTATCAATACAATGCGGCATTCTAAATGTAACAGCTTTATTACGCATTGATTCTAAATATGCTATTACAAACCGATTGAGCATATTGATCATTAATTTATAAAAATTGTAAGATTTCAAATGTAAATTACACTCATCTGTATAATCTTTAAGAGTTAAAACAATAACTTCCATTGTATCCACTTTGTACCATTTTGCAGTATGCAGTTCCTTAAATGGACTTTTTAGATCATTAAAGATAATATCTAAGATAGTATTGATAGAATTTGTTGCAACATTAAAAAAACCATTCGTTAAATTATTAAATAAATTATTAATATTCTTAATATGTTCCTCAGGTAATGATGATGTAAATTGATTTAAAAGTCCACCAATAAAATCAGTATAACCAAGTTGATCGTTGGCTAATGCAACAATATATATAATAATTTCATCAGCACATTCTTCTTGATTATTCAAATATCTTTGTAATTCAGACTCTAATAAGTTAATCCAAGTTTGCTGAATTTCAGACATCATAATACAACATTCATTTACTACATCAATTAATAACTGATAACTTGCAGGTTTCATTGCCACATCTATTTGTTGTCTTACCATACTAATCAAAATAGGAGCTCCAGGTAATTTTGCAAAATTATCAGAATCAAATTCCGGACTATTTTGACGTTGTGTAAATTCTTTAATATCACTTTCTATTAAATTTGTTTTCCATTCATGAAATTTAATACGTACTAAATTAAGATAATCATCAATCAATGATTGTTCTTTTCCATTCAACAAATTTGGTTCCATTAAATCTTCATAAAAATACAAATTTTTTTCCATAAATGTATAATAGTGTCGTACCCATCCAATTAGCCTTAAAATTGTTTCTGTATCAGGATCATTTTGTAAAATTGATTCAATACATTTATAAACATTCCGATGATACGCCAATACATAGAATGTAAGTATATTATAATTTGAAGGAAATACCGGATCAATTTCATCTTTTACTAATATTAAATCATCAAATACGAAATCCAAATTATCTAATAATTGTAATAAAGAATTTCCATGATTTTTAAATTTTTCATTAAATAAATTAATAATAGAATTATCAAGTTGATAAAAAAAATTAATTCTATAAGATTTTATAACACGAAAACTTTTTTTTGAATCGAGTTGATTTTGATTAATAGCTCTTTCATCAGCAGCTTCTTCTATCTCAATAATTTTGGCTATAGAAGAGATTATAGTTGATGCTTGACCATTTTTAGCTAAAGGCATTAAAATTTTTGATAAATTCCAAAGATAATTTGTGAAATAATTAGAAAATTTGTCCAATCGGATGAAATAACTCCGTAAAATATTAATAATATCTTGAGATGCAGTACAAGCTTCTTGCATAGTGTTGTCTCTTGATAATTCTAATTGTAATAAATAATTATGAACGAACAATAGGTTATTAGTATTAGTAGGACTAAAAGAGTCTTCAATATCTTGTTCCAAAATTCCTTGTAATCGATTAATGAATTGATGCATCTCTTGTACTTGTTCAAGTGTTTCGTTTGTGCCAACATTATTATGATTTATTTGTGGAACCTAATTAAAAATAAATATGTATTATTATAAAATAGAAAAAAAAAGGAATTTTATTTAATAATGTCCATTGTTTGCTTTATAGAGATAATACAGAATAAAGAAAGTATTGTTAAAAAAAATTTTTTTGGCCTACGGCAGCCACAAAATTAACCTTATTAAATTTGGGTAATAGATTAATGGTGGGCTGTTGTTCTTCTAAACATGAATTATTGATTTGCTGCATGTTTTCCTTAATCGTTATTTTTTGTTTATTGTGTTTAGTTGAAGTTCCAGATAATTTCTCTAAACCTACTTCTAAATAAGCTTTCAAGTTAGGTTTTGTAACATTTTTCTCCTTTTTTTTGTTTCCTCCACCAACTTTTAATAAAGCATAAGTTTCTTTAAAAACTTTTTTAATTTTTACTTTTTTACCATTTTTTGAATTTTCGTTTAGTGACTCCATAATAATATAAAATTTTTTTTTTTTTATTATAAAAAAAAAAAAAAAAGATATATATATAAATAAATATTATATATAATAGGTTTTTCTATTAAAATTCCCAACTATTGTTAAATATGTAAGGGGGGAAGCCGTAGCAAAATAATTTATGTGGTAGAAATGGTAGAAGAAAAAAAAACCGTACCGTAATAGGTATTGGCATGACAGTTCAAGGTGATATTTATACTAAAATTAATACCGACGGCCACATGATCACATACCGAAGAGGATTTGGGCTTTTTCGGTGTCTGATTGGTAACCGAATAATTGGGATTAATAATCTATTGTTTGATAGGTTATTCCACAACATTAAAAAACGTATCTCCACGTGCAACAACAAAATTTTTTTGAAAACAATGAACTTTTATTGATAAAAATACTGCGGAATACAAATCGGGCAATAAAACACGATTAACTTTAATCCTTATAACCGGAAGAGACGAGAATAATACCAAATAAGTTCACAATCATAATACATTCATAATATACTCATAACAAACTCATACCACCTGGTTATATAATATGTACTTTAAATTTTTTTTTTGTATTAGATAATTTATCAAAAATGTCAACTGCATAAAAATTAGATACCGTATAACTTTAATACCGTAATACCGTTCGTGATGATGATGACTACGCCACCAGCCAAAGTTTACATATTTAAAAAAAAAAATTTTCTTGCAAAAAAAAACCTTCTTGATAAAAAAAAAACCTTTTTCAAAGTTTTAAGAACTGCAGGCGCAACAGGAGGCTTTGCATTGTCATACAAATTCTTCTTCCTCTCTGTTTATTTTTCATTCTTCATTGCAAAAACTTCGCATAGCGTTGTTTTTCATTCTAACTGTCGCGTTTCCTTTTTTTTTCCTGTATAACGAAACGACCATTCCTATTATTCCAAACTTTTATATAAACCCCGTATAAAAGCTCTTGTAAAGAATACCTTTAAAAACTTCTTAACTTTTTGTTGAAGTTTATATCATTTCTCATATCCTCTTCCATTTATTATGACATTGTATCGTGCTCTCTGCACGTGCTGTTAAATTTACATTAAACGAACAAACAAAATTTTTTTTTAAAAAAAATAAATAAATCTTTAATTTTTGCCATTATATTGGTTTAAAAATTTTATTTATATTTTTTTTTTTTTAAAAAAAAAAAAAAAATTGAAAAACAGGAAAAAAAACATACAAAAATTTCTTTTTTTAACGATTCATAATGACTACCACAATGAGCTCCCATTCCTTTGAGAAAACTGCCTCGATGTTCGCTCCTGATATGAAGGGATTGCATGTCATAGAGTTTATTACTAATGACCAACCTTATCCTGCTGAAAAAGTAAAGAAATTTATTATTATTATTTTTTTCTTTTTTCTTTCTTTCTTTTCTACGTCAGTCAATGCAATAATTAAACACCTTATTTATTCATTCATTTTAAGCTAATTGAAAAGCTGCAAGAATTTCAAGCAACATTTCAAGAAGAATATGAAGATTTCAGGTAATTATTATAAAATTACACCATTTATTGTATGACAACATAATATATTTAAAGAATCCCTATTTCAATTTAGTGTTGGATCGTCCAAGATGCACCATCAATTTTCTGTTCCGTTTTTTGAACAGCAACGCTTATTTAATTCCACATCTGAAAATGATTTAGAAGCAGGTGATGATAATGAAGTTGAAGCTCTCATTAAAAAGGTAAATTTAAACTATGACTTCATTTTGAAGTTCGTTAGTATCATCACTTTACGTATTTTGCGCAGTTTTTACGCAGTTTAATATTTATATTAAATTATCTAAATTCACTGCGCATTGATCTGCATTTAGTAATAAAATTTCCTATATTTTAGAACGCAATGATCAAGTCCGCGATCGAAAAAATTAAAAAAGCAACCGAAGAACAAGAAAAGCAATTGCGCGATAAAGAGGAAGAATTACAAGAATTATATGAAACTTTTGCCGAATTGGAAGAAGAATTACAAGTGACAACATATGAACCACCTCGAGTAATGACCAAATTTGAACGAGCTAGGTAATCAGATTTATTTATTATTCTTCTTCTTTTAACTTGTGCTGAAAAATTATTTCTAATTATTGTTTTCTTTTAATAAAAGACGTCTCGGTTGCTTTTTCCTTATCATGCTTCTCCCAATCTTACTTGTAGTATTATTGGATGCGTACATCCAAGCCAACTACATGCCTTTCATCAATTAATACCGATAAATTTAAAAATATCAAAATATTCACAAAAATTTAACATAAAAATCAAAAAAAAAAAAAATACAAAAAAGCTTTGAAGAAAAAAACAAAAAAAAAACAAAAAACAATTTTATATATTGTATTTATTATACATATATTACCTTTATTTCAATTTCCTTTTCTTTTTTATTACAACTTGAAGAAATATTATCTTTTTTTTTTTGGTTTCTTATGATACTGCAGTATTCTATAGACTTTTAAAAAAACTTTTTATGCGCATATTATATGATTTGAATTTTAAGCTTCCGGAAGTTAAGATTTATAGATTTATATTGCCCTATAAAGATTTCAATTTATATATGTATTAAGATTTCTTTGTAAAAAAAATTATAGACACTTTTTAGTAGACACTTTTAGTAGTAGGTTTTTATGCACTCTCTCTAAGTACCCATTATAGTAGTAGTTTAATTTTAAAATTGCCCCCTCCCTTTAAGATGATGATTTTTTTTTTCTTGAATTTTTCTTGAATATAATATGTAAAAGATTATTTAAGATTTATTATGGTTTTCATGGTTTTAAATAAATTTATTTAATATATTTTTTGCCCGGTAATTTAATAATTTGACCCGTGAAAATTTCTATTACATCATAAATTTTTAACTGTCACCTGTTAAGCGATAAGATTGTCACATATCACGGACTAATACGTAAGCATGTTTAAATAACATCCGATCCACAACCTTTTCTGTTAAAACTTTTGTCAAAGCCTTCCTTTTTTTTCTGGCCTTTATTAGTAAAGCAGAGATAAAATTATTTTATTTAATTATTTTTATTATTGTTGTTCATTATGGAAGAATCAACAAGCGTGAAATCAATCAATGTCAAATTTCGCCCTTCTAATGGTGACGGTTTTGATTATAGTTTTGATCCCGGACAGTTAACGGTTCGACAGTTAAAGGAAGAGCTTGTTTTACATACTACTATACCCGCTGATAATATGCGTTTAGTTTACTCTGGAAGAGTTCTGAAGGATGAAGACATGGTAGACTTATATGGTGAGCTGTGTATTTAGACTCTAGATTTCATTGCTGAAATTATATATATATTTATATATTTCTTTCTCTCCTTCTTTCTTTTATATTTAATTAATAATTAATAATACCTTTATTCAGGTGTTAAAGAAGGTCATACAATACATGTAGTTAAAAGGGCGGATAATCGTGCTTCGGAACAAGCTTCTAATGTGACACCTACATCGACGGGTCAAAGAAATATTAGTTCAACGACAGCGAGTAGTCCTTTTGGTATGAATCCTTTTGGTAATTTCGATCCAGATTTAATGAGAAACATGATGAATTCACCAATGATTAGGGTATGTGTTTGTAGAGTTCAAGCTATAAAATAAATATTAAAAATTCTAATATGGAATGTACTATTTTAATTTATATCGCAACTAGTTTCGTTTATGAATTGTACTTCATATTCACATCTTGGATTGGAGCTCAATTTAATATGAAATTGTTTCAACTTATTGATTCTAACAAACGCTTCATTTTTTTTCTTTATATTTAGCATATCCTCTCTAATCCGGAAATAGTGAGAACCATGGTGATGCAAAATCCTACTATGAGGCAAATGATAGAACGAAATCCCGAGATTGGTCATATCATTGTGAGTATAAATTTTATTCAAGATTTTTTATATATTAATTATGCCCTTTATATTTAACATATATATACATATTAATTTATACAGAACGATCCATCCTTTATTCGTCAGGTTCGTTAGGTTCAAATTTATCTATGTATTAATGTTTTATTTATTCTCACTTATGGGATAATTCCTTTCAATTTCAGACAATGGATATGGCACGTAATCCGGAATTAATGAGAGAAATGATGCGCAATAATGGTTATTATTACCCCCATTTTTTGACTTTTATTGCATAAATGTTATATTACAATCAAAACTTATCCTTATTATTCTTATTAGATCGAGCTCTTGCAAACCTTGAGACTATACCAGGTGGTTTTAATCATTTACGGCGGATGTACCATACCTTACAAGAACCACTTGAATCTGCTGGTAGAAATGTATGTTTGATAAATGTGTTTTAACGTTACGAAATATCAGTGAATTGAAAGCGAATCTAAATAGAACTCATTAATACATGATAAAGAATGATCAATCTTCAGAAGCGGCAAATCGACGGTTGGCCGAGATGTTAAATGTTGAAAGGCCTCCACGTAAGTTTACATGTTCATATTTAATTAATTCATATTTTCTGTTATTTTCATTATTTATATATTGTATATGATTTCATCTCAGAGGGACGCATAAATAACACACCATTACCAAATCCATGGGCACCACGTAATAACACCAATTCGTCAACATCATCATCATCAAATACAACCAATTTATTTGGAGGTAATATCAAAAACTTTTTTTTTTTAAAGGGAGGGATTTATAACCTTCCTTAATTTTTTTTATTTATTTATTTAGGAATACCATCTTTCGGTCTCATGGGATTTCCACCAGCACAAATGGTATATATAACATATTTGATTCTTTATTAAAAAATGAAAACATATTATATATAATTGTTAATTAAATATGTAATTATTTCTTGTTAGTCTTTTCCATCACCATCATCAAATTCCAGAATTTCAAATTCTACGCAAGGGCCCAATCAATCATCAACTCCAAATTCCCAAACGAACGGAATATCTAGCGCAACATCTCCCACGAATGCATCTGGAAATGCACCAAATTTTCCTAACGTTAACCTACCTCAGAATTCACCAACATCGATTGACCCTGAGTCTATTAGGCGGCTTCAGCAAGTTATGCAAAGGCATTTGACTTCATCACAATTTCCATCTCGCCAACAAATGCCTCAATCTTATTACCCATCTCTTTTCGGATTACCAAATCCATTTTTCGCAAATATGCAACAATCCCTTGGGTAAATTTTTTTTTTATGGGTGAACTAGTCAAGTTTATATATTAATATTATATACTTTTTTAAAATTTTTGAAATTTTAATAGAACGTCACAAACATCATCTCAACCATCTGAACCACCTGAAATACGGTTTAGAGTACAACTTCAAAGACTTGAAGAAATGGGTTTTATGGATCAAGCTGCTAACATAAGAGCTTTACTAGCGGCTGGTGGTGATGTCAATGTAGCCATTGAATGGCTTCTACGAAATTTAAATTCATAAATTGTTAATTTAATTTTATTTTGAAAGACTTTTTTTTTGATTCAGGTAAGAATTATATAGATTATCATCTTTTTATCGGATCTTCTATCATACCCAGGATCTTTCTGGATTTTCCTCACTGGACACCCTATATTATATTTTTTTTCAAGAACAGAACTAAACGTGGTTATCGGGACATTTATTATATCTCTCCCGCCAAAACTTTTTAAATTACAATTTATTGATTTATTACTCATTCTTGTCATTTTAGTTTTTTCCCTGGATTATATATATCTTACCTACACTTCGTCTTCACTAACTTCAATATGATATGATAGTGACATTACTGATCCCTTATTCTGGTTACATTTGTTATACAGAATTTTTTTTTTTTTTTTTTAAACCAAAAAGTTAGTTATAATATTTTTAATATAGTTTTTATTTATTAGCTCTCATGACTTTTGAGCTTATCAAATTAGATATATTTGTAGTGGGGAAAGAGCTTGATTATTAGGATTTTTGATTGGAATGCAAACAAAATTTTTAAAGCAATTTATATGTATTATATTTATATTTGTCAGTCTATTATCAGATTTATTGATGTTATAATTCTAATAATTTCTAAAAATGATAAATAGAAATATAGTTAATGAAATTTTCAAAAAATTTGGGTATTGTATAATCAAATAATATTTCATTTGTATTGATAATAACATAATATTAATAATATTATATTTACAGCAAATAGTAATAATTTAATTAATCATTATATCAAAAGTAATCCTTATCTTTATTTATAAAGTTACATTAAGCAGTAATAATAGCAACAATTAAAAGTATTTAATATTACTCTTTTTTTCTAATTTTTTAAAATTATAAACAAATTACAATTATTAAATTGTTGTAAATTTATTATTATAATTTTATTTAGTTTAGTTTATAATAGTTAAATAATATTATTTTAATAAATGTAAATTTCTTTAAAAAAATCTATATTAATGGATGATAACAAATACAAATTATATGATTATTTATAATTATATAATTTGTATTTATTTATTAATTATTAATAAATTCAAATTTTATATATTTTTTATATTAGTTAAAAATTAATTAAATTATATATTTTAAAAAATGGTTTAGGATTGTTTATTAATACTAGAAAAAATGAAACCCATTTAAATTGTATAATTCACAATTCATTTATTTATTTGGCATATTTTAGAGATCAAATAGGTAGTATTACATAAATCATAATACATATTCAAAAAAAAAAAAAAAAAATTATTGATTGTGACAGAAATAAAAATGGTGGTTAAACCAAATTTTGCTAGTTCAGTACAGTAAAAAATCCTTTACTAATACTTTGAATAATAAAATATTTTAATTATATATATAGTTGATTATATAATTTAATACTTAATATTAATGATTATATTAAAGTTAAAAAACATTTGAAGTTAAATATAATATTAAAATTTTTTACTATAATTTAATAAATAAATTATTTTTAATTCTATTATGATGATTATTACCTAGTCTGAAATTTAATTTTTATTTTTATAAATATGATCTTATTATATTATAATGTTACTAACTTATATACATTTTTTTTAAAAAAAATTATTTTTAAAGGAATTAAACCACTTTATTAAAATTACCAGATATAAATATATGGGGTCTTTGCAATAGAAAGGTACAAAATTCAAAAAATATCAAAAATTGAATTAATATTAAATTTGCATTTATTTCAGTAAAAAAAAAATATAATTAGCATATAAAGTAAAATTGAAATTTTTTGAATTTCGTATCTTTTTATTGTAAAGACCCAATTATAACAAATTGGTCCCCTATCTGCCTAAGTGTAATAGTAAATATACTTTATAAACACATATAAGATTTCACTTATTATTAAAATAAGTTACTAATAGAAATTTCACTTTTATATAAAACTTTATCTTATGATTTTCTTAAATTCTATTTTTTAATTAATTAAAAAAAAATTATAATAATATAACATTGGTACGGTTTGTTGGAGAGATATACCTATAGAACGTAATCCCATTCTTATGATAAAAGGAATAAAAGACGCTCAATTTATAGAAGAATTCTTAATGCTACACCGTAATGAAGTTTATAGACAATCAGATCTATTAAGGTTGATAGATTGGAAAATATCTTTAAAGTTAAATAACATAAATCAATATGATATATTGTTTGAGGATCATTATTTACAATCATTTAGGATTAAAATTTGTTGTAATGAATTACCAACTTGTGCTAATTTAAAAAAGCGTAAGCCAGATCTATATGATGAAAATTGGAGATGTAATTTTTGTAAAATAGAAGAAGAAACCTTTGATCATTTTTGGAAATGTAGTAAGATTCAAAATGTTGTGCAAGATATACTCAAACGATTAAAAATTTTTTTAGTTAAAATTATACAGGAGTATTCAAGAGATGATATAGATACACAAGAATTAAAAGGTAAAATTAATGAGTTTGGTATGTGGGATATTGGATGCTTATATGATTTTACATTTTTAATGAAGAATCAAGTCAGTTGTCAGTTAATAGAATTATTAAGGTGCTATAAAATAACTGAAGAAAAATTGTTGTATAAAGTACTGAAACAAATAACTGGAGGAGTTTTATTAGAATTTAAAGTGCTTATTTGGGAACCAAGAAACGAGTTACAAATAAAGGAAGAAAAGCGGTGTGGTATTAGTGGTAAAGATAAAAAAGCTAAGTCACATAGTAAACGCACTGAAGTGGGTGTTAAAGATGTTGGCTGTAATATATTAGAAAGTAATTGGAATAAATGGAATGATTTGGCATTCCATCGAGGTGGCCATTAGGCAAATTTTTAGGTAGATCATGACAGTCACCTTTGAATTTGAGGTCGCATCATGGTTTTTAACAATGATGTGATCGTTTAGGTGACAGGTCGACTTGTTTTTTTTTAAAATTAGTCTTTTTTCATAATTCTTAATTTTTATATGTATTTGTTTATCTTATATTTTGTAAGTTTATATATGTAAGTAAGCGTGATTATAATAGGACATGATCGCATCTATAATAAAGTATTAAAATAATAATAATAATAATAATAATAATATAACATAAAATTTTCTTTTATAGTAAAATTTTTAAAGAATTTTATATATAATCTTTACTTTAAATATAAGGTGACTTATTTTAATAGTAGTAAATAGAATTTTATATATACCAATAATTTTATAAATAAAAAGTTAATAGAAAATTAAAAAAAAAACTTAACTAAAAAAAATTTTTGATTAACTAAAAAAAAAAATTTTGAAAAAAATATTTGTAAAATAAATAAAAATTAAAACAAAAATATTTAAACTAAAAAAAAAATTAACTTTTCAATAAATAGACTGACTAGCCTTTCAAATATTATATCCTGTTTATTAACTTTTTCAATATTTCTTTCAATTCCATTATTTTCTTATAAAATTTTCACTTTTCTTATTTGTTTTAATTGAAACTTACAGTTTTAGTTAAAAGTTTTCATTTATTATCTTTTTTGATTTTTCAATATTATTACTTTTAAATATTAAAAGTTTTATTTTTTTAGATTGGAATTCTTTTGAAAATTCATAGAGTCTTTAGATTTATTCTAACTTTTTAACCTATTTTTAGATTTCTTATTAAAGTAAAAAGAAATATAATAATATTAATCTAACTTTTTACCTTTAATTTTGTAATTATATTTTATATAAAGATTATTTAAATCTTATTTTTTTAGGTAAATTATAAGCTTATGCTTATAATTCTTTATAATAAAGTCTTTATAACTGTTTATTACTATTATTAAAGCCAAGCAAAATTAAAAAATAGTAAAGTTATTGTCATTAAGTTTGATATATCAAAAAGCATAGTTTAAAATCTCTCTCTTTTTTTTCATTTATAAAAAACAGAATATCATTTCACTAGTATATTCCCTAAAAATGCTGTTTAGATACTATTATTTTGCATAATTTATTCATCTTCAACTTTACTTAAATTATCATATACTTCTTCTGTTATATGATTTTAATGAAAATAATCTTACCTAGAGTTCTGAATAGGTCAGATCAGGTCAGGTTATTTGGCCAACCTGACCTGAAATTTTTTTTTAGGATAGGATCATAGGATAGGACAGGTTAGGTCAAATAACTTTTCTAACCTGACCTGACCTGTTTGATCTGAAAATATTCATAATAAATATGGAAAATACTAATATCTCAGCACTTAATGATCATAAAAATATAAAATACAGCTCATTCAATTTGTCACATTTCTAGACATGATAGATAACGAAATATTTAATAAAATATTAACAAATCAGCATTTTACATATTTATTAAATATTTTGCCACTCAGTGATTGTAAAAGCATGAAATATAGCTCATTTGATTTGTCTCAGTGAGACAAATCAAATAGTACCAGTTTTGCATTTCTAGGCATGATAGATGATGAGATATTTAACGAAATGATAACAAATTAGCATTTTTTATTTTCGTTTATTACACCATTTTATATTTCACTTAGAAATGTAAAATTAGTACCATTCAATTCGTCTCATTGAGACGAATTGAATGAACTGTGTTTTATGCTTTTACAATCATTAGTAAATGAGAAGATATTTAACAAAATATAAAATAGAACAATTAACAAAAATGAATAATGCCAATGTGTGGTATAACTCAACTTCTATTATGTCTAAAAATGTGAAACTAGTACCATTTGACTCATTTTACTGAGACGAATTGAATGAGCTGTATTTCATGCTTTTACGATTACTGGGTGGTGAGATATTTATCAAAGTATTTTTATAGTACTTTTATATATTAATTATATTTAAAATATAAAAAAATGCTAAAATAGCATTTTTTTTTTTTTTCCTTATATTAACATGAAAAAATGCTATTTCAGTATTTTTTTTCATAAATACAAATAAAAGAAATATATCATAATGGTATTTTTTTTTATAAAACTATACTTTAATATTTTTATTTTCAAGTCAACAGGTATTTGTTAACCTGGCCTAAAATTTTTCAGGTCAACTTGACAGATTACCTGAAATCACCTAATCTGTTCAGAACTCTAATTATTCTTATCTAGGCTTTCAAATGATGCAGTAATACAATATTATTTCAGATCAAAAGAACATCATATATTATAATATTATTAATGTTTATAAATGCAAGTTTTTGGTTAATATTATTAATATCCTATTATAATATGTATTTTTAGTTTTCTTGTTCTTTATTATAGAAGCTGATTTTAGCTTTAATACTAATTAATTATCTTTTAAATTATCAAATTAAATCTAAGAGAAAAGTTATTAATAAAAAATTGGCAGTTACTGTTTTTTTTGGATTTCTTTTTCTTTTTTATACTTTTATCTTAAAGTAATATCAGGTAGTTTGGATAATTCCTTCATGCAAGATTATATTATCTGTGATTAAGGTTGCTTGCCGAAACCTGTTTGGCCTAATGCCGAAAGGTGAAACCTCTTATATAGTGCCGAAACGCCGAAACGCCGAAACTGCGAAACCTGTCAAAATTGCGAAACTGCCGAAACATGCCGAAACCTCTATAATAGGTTTCTCCGTAGTTTCGGCATAGTTGATCATAAGATTTGCATATAGTTACGCCAAGTTACACCAATTAATAATATAATTTAGATGATCAAATAATCTACAGATAAAAGATTAAACTTCAATATTTTACCGTCGTCTTAGTTCTTT